AAACGAAACAAACTATATAAACTAAAATGAAGAAAAACACGAAATCACATAAATAGACTAAAAATTAAAAAGAGAAAAAGTGTGCAAACCGAAACTTCATCGAGAATACAAGTATTCGAGAGTAAATTCTTCACTCCCGCTCCTTCCCCTGATAGATATGTCCTGCCTATACAAACCACAAATACTCCAAAACTCCCATTATTCAAACAACATAAATAAAACACACAACATAACATAAAGTAAATAAGAAAGCAAAAAAAAACTTAGGTTACCTCCCAAGAAGCGCTTGTTTAACGTCATTAGCTTGACGTTATTAATAATAATAACAACAATAATAATAATAGTAATAATAATAATATTTTTTTTATCAAAAGAAAAACAATAAAAAATACAAGTTACAATATTTACAAAAACACAAACACCAAAAGCAAGAGAAATAAAAAAAAATACACAAAATAATAATAATTTTTATTTATTTTTTATTTTTTTTTATAAAAATCAAGAGAAACACAAAAAAAAAAAAAATTAATACCAAAACTAAATATCGTACTTGCCTTCCCCGACAACGGCGCCAAATTTGTTGTAGCAAATTATTTTTATTTTTACCGAGTAACAAATCAAAAGATTAGTTTCCCGGGTCGATCTCTCGAGGAAGACTGTTCGGAACTTAGAATTAGTATTAATATCACATAAAAAAAAATAAATCCTAAACATTCTAATCAAAAGATTGGTTTTTAATTGTTAACTAAGAAATAGCATAAAACATAAATCTACCTAGAAATATAAACGACACAAAAATAAAAAGGCTAGGGAATTGGGAATAAACGTTTTGAATCGAAATGCAATTATCGACTCATGATCGTTCGGTTAAAGAAATCGAGTCACCTACACGTTTAGAGGTTCATCCTCAATACCTTTCGGATATGAGAATAAATATAAACGGTAAATTAACGAATTGTTTAACACATAGACAATACGTCTCCGAACATGTCTATTTTGTATGAGTTTCGATCGATTGACCTTTCCCCTTTCGGTTCAAGAGTCGATTAAAATAGACTATATGATTGTTAGTCATCTAGTCTATTCGAATCGTGATCGTCACAATAGAACACACCTTATTCAATTTGAAAACAAGTTTAACATTGAAGTGTCACTCTTCAATACTTAGAAATCAATAGCAAGGTTGAATTGTCACTTTTCAACAATATGTCATTCCAAAGTTAAAATCAAAAACTGAATTTAAAACTAACTCATACAAAGTGAACAATCAAGGAGCACGATAATCACATACGAGTTCAAAGGTTCATCCCTTATCCCTAATACTAAAATTAAATACAAATCATATTTTCTCCTAATTTAACCATTTTCATGAATTAAAAGAGAAGAAAATACTTACCAAAATCCCAATGCATGTAGCTCCGAAACAAGTTTTATTATCGAAAAACCAAAGAAAAATATTTACAATAACATGAATACAAATATTATTACATCTTACTTAAGCTCATGCATTAACATGCATGAGCTAAATGCTAAGGAAGAACATGAAAGAAAGTAAAAAATGGTGTTTGAAGGATAAATCCTCCTCTTTTCTTTACATGAAAATCACACCTATTTATAGGTGAAGATTTAAGCTTGAAAATGTCTGAAAATTGGAGTTTGGTATGTGTTTAACATCATGACAAAGCATGGCACCATAAAACATTAACATCCCAACTACCAAGCTTAAAAAAAAAAAAAAAACTGCACAGCTGCAGAAACGGGCTCTTAGCGCCGCTACTTGGGTAGTAGCGCCGCTACTGTGTCGGCAGCTTGCATGTCATCACGGTTTTCGCTCGTTCGGGCTCATTTGGACTCGGAATTGAGTTCCGTTTTTTTCTATGCGTAGCTAACGAACCCTTCTATCAAATGATATAAGATTTCCCACAATTTTCCCAAAAACCTGTTCTCCCAAGACCTCCAATCTCGTCGGTTGCTGCACATTTTTTTCCATTTTTTCTTGTTTTTGCTCGTTTGAACTTGTTTTAACTCGAAATTGAGTTCCGTTTTCTCCTATGCGTCGCTAACGAGCTCCTCTATCACTTTATGCAAGCTTTCTAATAATTTTCTCAAATACCTGTTCTTCCGAGATTTTCAACCTACACACCAAAAACTAAAATACGACAAAAACTACCGAAAAATAAACATAATTCACATAAATACTTAAAATAATGAAAAACACATAAATAACTATAAGACCACTCTAAAACTAACTAAATGACTCAAAATAAGGATAAAAACATATTAAAATAACAATGAAAAACGTAACAAAAATAGTACAAACATTACATATTCACATTCATACTTTGATCATACCCAAGTAAGTAAACATATTCCACAATTCAAGGCATAGACAATTTTATAAGTAAACCCACCTGGATATTCTGAACTGAAACTGAGAGTCGCCACTTATGTGGAGACTCGAGGGCTCGACTCCTCGGAATCTACATAAAAAAAGTGATACTCGAATAAATAACTAACTCCTATCTCGGTAAACTAATTTACCGATTTGAAGGATTTTCTAGCTTAAAGTTCACGACTTATAAATATTTTCTTCTATTTCTCAGATGTTGGAACTCTCGACTCGAATATTTTTAAGAATCTTAGAAATTGATTTTTGAAATTAAAATCTAAGACTCGACTTAAAAATAAATTCTCCAAAATAAATATGATATCAAAATAAGCTAAGTCATTTGAAACCAATTTATCCAAAAATTTTGCTAATATAATTCAAATTCATTTCTCATAAGATGACCACCAAAATCGTGCAAAATTTTCAAATGTGATAAAAGATCCCACTCATAGTTTTTCTAAACCAACTCAATTCACACCCACTCAAAATAATTTTGGAGATAAAACATCACAAATGATGAAATAAGCTCACGTGAATTCGTTCCCCTGCCACCACGGAAAATAAGATTATATCTATTCTATATCTCTACTATACATATAACCCAACAACTTTGGACTTTTATGGTGTTGACACATGTCTTTTTTGGACCAAAAGGACCTTGCTTGAGCACTTTTTTTACTTATTTGACATAGAGTTTATTTATTGTTAATTAAATTGGTCACTTCCCTCATTTCCGAGTCGTCACTTCTGGACCTTCACTTCCCTCATTTCACGCTTGCTGACTGAATGATGAAGAAGAACATTTCCTTCCCTCCAATTATTTGGAGAGAGAACATAACTCATCTAGCCTTATGAGCTTTGATCAGTTTCATCTCCCTTTCTCAAACCCTCGCCGCCTCAGGAGCAGAGCAACTCATCCACTGCGCCGCCGGCGTATCCGACCCAGATCTCCTCTTGCCTCCTTCGGCTACGCCTCTACCTGTTTTCGCAACTCGGCCTCCAAGATCACAAGTCACGGCACGCAACGACAGAGATCTGAATGAAATTAGGGTAAGCTATCTCAAATTTTCACCCAACATATTCAACTTCTCCGACTTCTTTTGATCAAATCTGAAGCTTTCAGCCTACACGAGACTATCTTTCTTTTCATCGTCCGAGAGAGCCATCAAATTCACCAACCTTTAAGATGCTTTCTTTATCTTGTGAGCGACCGACAAGTGCAACTATAGAGCTTGCACATATAGAATCTGCAACAGGTATTTTTTCTGGTTTTTGCTTTGTGCTCTTGAATGCACCATATGGGTTTACTTTGAAACCCAGATTTTACAATTTGGTTATATTTGGGCTCACCGTTATTTATCCATTAAATTCCATTCTTCAACAACTGATTAATGTCCAATAAAACAATTTCTGAGTTTTGAAGTGATTGTAAAAAATCCCAAAAAGACTCAACAGTACAGTGACTGAGAAGGTTAAAAAAGGAAAGCGGTTGTCGAGTGCGAGGCCCTCAAGGGGAAGTCGACGAGACTAACTCTGTTGTCATGAAGCTGTTCGAGCTCAACAGGAGGCTGATGAAGAGCATCGACGATAAATCTATTTTTAATAAAAGTCAACGTCATTGATCTTGGAGAATGAGGGGAGCTTGAGGAATAGAAGGGTGTCCGAGCAGGCCCGAAGGCTGTCCGAGAATATTGGGATGCTGCTATTGGAAGGGCAGAGGCTGCAATTTTTCTTGATGAAGATGGATAATGTGATGGATGGGAGGAATAGGATGTAGGAGGGAAAAGAAGAATAAGCTGAGGGATTATCTGTAAGGAAGGACGGGACATGGACATAGGTGTAAGAAGACGTAGTTTTGTGATTGCTTCTGGGTTTTGGTTGTTGATAAGTGAGCTACTGGTATGCGTGTTTTCGTGTTAACCAAAAGTTTTGTTTAAGTAATGTTGCTTCTTCTTTGTTTATAAATGGGATTATATTTAGTTACAAGTGACCCTTTTGTACTGGTTTATATATGATTATCATTTATCTTTCTACGGGGCTTACATTGGAGGTTTAATGTGCTTTTTACCCATGATTGTTGTCATGTGGTTACTTTGTTGAAGGCGAATGGTTAAGGAATGCATTCCGGTGGAAACCGATGACCCTCTCTCCCGGCGCGTAGCCCGCTCTTTCCTCCACTTCCTTGACACTGGTAAAGCGTAGCTTTTTCTACCATTATTATCTCCTTTCATCGACTTGCATAATCACTGCTTTCTATTTTCTGTACAAAAATTCGCACTGATAACAATGGCTTGCTGACATGAACCGTGGCTAAAGACCATCGATAGTCGATTTTGATTCATAGAAGTTCATTTGACCAGAGTCAATACCGTGCCTTGATGTTAGGGTTCATGATTTTCCCGCTTTATCTGTTTATATGCAGTTGAGCCGTCGGCCGGAGTTGATAGCGAAGCGTTTGATGTGGCGAGGGAATGTCGGTCGGAAGTGTTTAAGATCGATCAATCTTCCATAAGTCAGTCGAATGGTGAGCCGTCGTTGGTAGATATTTTCAGCTTGCAAGAAGCGAATGCCGATTGTGATGTTGAAAATAGGGGGTTTTTCGATGCGACAGGTTCATATTCAGGAAGGGATGATGTTGTTGTTGTTGAGGTTTGTCTGTATCATCAGTCCCGAGTCTGTGATTTTCCGTGTTTTGTTTTCAGTGTTGGATAAGATATGCTGTTTGACCTATTTTCTGGTTGTTCGAGTTTCTTTTCTCTGCCCTTTCTTACGTTGCTTAATTTTCCATAAATCAAGAATGTTTTGCCCAACTTGGAAAATGCCATCTTGATATTTTCAGCTTTCTGTTTAGTTCTTCTTTGATTTACTCTTTTCTCTCTCTATCTCTCTATACTGTCAATTTTGATTGTCAAATTTGGAAAATGGGATTTAAGTTGAGTTCAATTTATATTTCTTAATAACAGGATGGAGGTGGAACTAGGGAGGCTCATTCGCCTGGTATGATTGACCGTGCTCTTATCATATTCCAATCGACCATTTGATATTCCCCCATTGTAGTTAATCTAAAGCGCATATTCTTCTTTCATTTAATAGTTTCCCCTTTTATTTACTTCTAGCTCACATGATAAGCTTTTTATCTGGCGTTGACTCTTGACAGGGAAAGATGAACTCTTTGGGAAATTCTTTGGTGCACTTGAAAAGATTCATTACTTTAGAAGGATGTCTGAAGGTACTGATGACCAGGGACAGCTCGAGGACAACACATTTATTTCATAATGCCGTGAAGGTTTGAGCTTCAGGAGGTGGAAATAAAACTCCAACTTTACATTGTGATTTTCTGAGTGCGTTTTTCTGATTGAAGGCGATCAAGCAATTAACGGTGTGTTGCTTATTTGTAGTGCGTGTGTGAACATGTTCTTTTTTTATTTCGGCTTTGAGATTTTTACTATTTGTACCCTTCATATTGTGAAGCTGGCCTCATACTTTATTGTGCTGTGTAGCCGTGACTTATTAGTGTCTTTAATTTGCATTAGGTACTTCATTATTAGAGGAATCAACATATCTGCAAAAGACATAAATCATAGTTCATGTATTTTTACTATTCTTACTTTTATCTCATTACCGTGGGACCATTATAACAGGAAATGGAAGAAACAGGATGTCAAACATTTGATCAGAATATGCTGGCAGAGACCTTTAAATCACAGGGTACTTCTTCTTCTCCCTCTCTCTCACGCACACACACACACGCATGCACACATAAAAGCGGTCCTCATGGGCGTATCACAGACCGATTTACTTCTCTTTTGGCAATTGAGCTTTTTTCGCAACTGTTACTGGAAATAGGAGAAATCTATTTATGCATGAAATAGAGTATTTAAGTTGACTTACAATGAAACTTCTCTTCTGCTGCCAGCCTGCCACGCACCTGAATCATTAAAGAAACTCATCTTTCTACTTTTTATTTCTTCCATTTCATGGTCATCTCATGTCTTGCCCAAAATTCAAGTATCGTTGGCATATTTTATTTTTTTTTATTTTCCCATGAATTATGAAATTCTCGTACATTACTGGTACCATGTATTCTAAAAATGAACAGAAATTCCTTTATCGTGGATTGGTTGTTTAATGCTTATTCAAATTTCATCATTGGCAGGTAACAAGCTCGTGCAGTCTAAACGCTACGATGAAGCAGTTGAGTTGTATACTTTTGCTGTTGCTCTATGTGAAGCCAATGCGGTTTACTATTGCAACAGTCTGTTGTTTTCGATTTTATTTATTCTTTGAAATCTCAATTGCTCTAAACTATTTTTAAGAAGGGGCCGGCAGGTTCTAGGACGTCACAGATTCTACGAAGTTTTCAAATTAGAATTGAGGATGTACCTTTTTGGGGTTCTAACATAACCTTTATTCTTCCGAAAAATGATATTTCCTTTATTATTAATTAGTTTTTTCCTTCCCAAATTGTTAGGGCGGCTGCATATACACAACTCCACAGATATGCTGAAGCTATTCAAGATTGTCTGAAGTCCATAGAGATCAATCCACATTACAGCAAGGCTTATAGTCGTGTGGGATTTGCTTATTACTCTCAAGGGAGGTATAGGTATGCAATTGATGAATATATGAAAGGTTGGTTATTGTAATTCATTTATGGTAGATGTATACCTTTATTTGTTATTTCGACGAACAAATGTGGTACGCTTACATAAAATAAATTTCACTTGAGGCCACCTATTATTTTTCAGGTTGTCATTATTTATTTTTTTATTTTATTTTTAATTGTGGTTTTAAATAGAGCTATCATATTTTTGGCAGCCCATGTGATGGATCCTAATAATACATCGATAAAGGCGAATGTTCGGGTTAGTCGAGAACCTTATATTGGAAACCAAAGAGCTCGTGTTACATTTCTTTGAAACGATTATTGTACGTGATATCATTCTCTTTCTGACTTTAGGTTGCTATACAAAAACTGAATGAAGACGGTCAGGTAATGCCGAAATTTCAATTTTCACTCTAAATTACTGATCGGACAATAAACCTTTTTCATGAGATAAAATCTGGCATTTTAGTTATCAAGTTTGGATTTAGGACCATTTTGTGGATTCTCATCCGATGATCCGATTAACTAATATGCCATTAGATCAAGTGTTAACTTGGAAGTTTGTCATAGAGGTAGAGAAATGAAAGGAAAAGAAAAAAAAAAAGTGCCCATCTTTTAAACTTACATGTACTCTTTCGAAAGATTGATGGGTGAATTGTGTTTACCCAAATATCATAGAGGTAGCTAAATTTAAGGGGGTTGGAAGTGAACGGAAAAAAATATGATTGATAAAGTATTCGACTAAATTTAGCTAATATCAATTGTTTTTAGCACTTTGGACTTCATAGTCAACATGTAGCTATGAATTATGTATGTTTTAGTTTGTTTTTGATTGATATATGATACACAAATGTCAGCACATTTTTCTTATGGCGTGTCTATTATGAAATACTAATTTACTGTGAATGTTATGTTCTCAATACAAACTTTTTTTTTTGTTACTTCTAAATTTTTGCTGTAAACCTCGTGAGGAACATAACTTTTCTATGTTCAAAAGATTGGGAAAGAGCTGTGACTTTTGAAAATGTGAATGTACTTGTCAAAACCATGGCTAAGTATAGCTTCAATTTATGCATCATTTATCAAAGAACAAGGTGGTTTCACTTTTGTTTATCGGGTGCTCACTTTTTAAGGACAAAAATTGTTGTCGAATTTCATAAATGTTGTTTTATTTCTATTGAATGCTCAAACATTGGGTTTGCCATCACGGTTTTGTCATAAAGATGAGTATATTGTGTTGAGAGTTTTTTTTGCCCTTTCTTTTTTATTTTTTAGAATTATTCTCAATTTTCTAGATTGAGATGAATGAGTAGAAAGAAGATCATAGAGTATGATTCAAAGAGGTGCTGAAGGTGCATCTGAAGTGATTGATTGTTATTCAACCTGCGCTTCCGTACCACCTATGTATTAATTTGCTTAATTTCTTATACCTCTATTACACCTTTAATGGTGTTCTCGATTTAAGGGTTTTGCATGCTTTCATGTTTTTTTTTTTTTAATTTATTTCTCAATGCCTGTAGTTATTTCTTGGAATTATTTCTTAAAATTTTTAAGACTTGAGTATCATGTTCTATTGAGATCTCTGTTTAATGTATTCGGATTAGTTTCTGTATCTTTTTGTCGCACATACTAATTTACCAATTTTAAGGATTCATAGCACATAAATTTTTTGCTTTATTAACGTAAGCGCAAGTTAAGGAAAAAATCAGTAGCAAACCATCAGCTCAATAAACTTCACCACTCTGCAAATCGTGTATTTAATTGTTTTAGATTGTGAATGACATTTTTTTTTTTTGAAAAATTGTCAAATGCTTTTACTCTCGCTTTCTCTCTGGAAAATGGTAACCAATTTAGGTTAAATAAATTTCATCTGTCAACATGGCCGTTGTTAGTATTGAATCTTATGTTGCCGTAAAAACATATAACAGTTATATGAGGTGCTACACTTGAAATATTCGTGTGGTTCTTATTTTAGATATTGAAAGATTGTAATTACTCTATTATCTACAAAATAGCCTGTTCAACTGTAACTTGTATTTTGGGATATGCGTGTTTAGTGTTTAATCAATAACACTTAACTCTTGTTTGAAAATGAGTGGAAAAAATTGACAATAATATAATAAAGGATCTGCAGACAATGTGAATTGAAAGAATAAAATAAAAATATATTATTCACATTTGTTAAATAAAATAAAATATACAACTTAAATTATTATTTCTTTACAAAAATATATTATTCTCACATTTGTTAATTAAAAGAAAAAAATACAACCTTAAATTTGGGTCGGCTGTGCGTGCACAGCCGTAACCCGACTAGTACTCTTAATATATAAAAAGATGTTAATAGCCCCTGCGGTCGACACGTGGCGGAGGCATTTAAGAGTCTCCATCCTTTTGTTTCGAAACGACGTCGATTTTCCCTATGTTTATAACGACGTCGTTTAGAGTTGTGTAAGGTCATTTTTTGCTTATTATTTCGCTATTGTGACTTTCACACCGAATTTTTTAGGCCAGAGCGATTTTGGGCCTCCCGTCGTCTTCGTCGATCGGTGATTCTTAACCGTTTTTTCAGGCAACCGGGTCCATTTTGGTTGCCTTTTGTATTTTGCCTTTGTTGCGTAGATTCAAGGTAAATAATTTCCAGGTTTCTGTCTACGATCGTGCTCATCTATTGTTTAGGTTTATGTCAATTGAATTTTATGTAGTTTATGTCAATTGAATTTTATGTATTTTAATCCATAAGGTTTTCTGTTTGGTTTTGGCAATGCACCTAGGATTCATTGGTTTGTTTCGCGGATGGATCTACTGCGCGTGCAGCTCAGGGAAGCTTCTTTGTTTTCTTTTTTTTTTTTTTTGTTTTATTTTGGTTAAATAATTAATGTTGCCTGATCTTTGCTGTTTAACTTTAATATTTCCGTTTTTTGGGACTTTTTGATTGTTGTATGTTCAGTGGTGTGTAGTATTGTGTATGACAATATAATAATTATTTTTTGCTTCAAGTGGAAAAATAGGTCAATAATGAACGAAAATGGTTTATGGTCTTTTGCTTATATTTTATAATTTATAATGCATGTAGCCATTTATAGTATGGGGTAATTGATTCAAATCATTACAGAGTATGTGGTTGATGTTGTGAAAAATCTTTGCCTGCAGCTTTTAGTAGATTTTTTTTAACTTTGTTTTGTGTAATATGTGGGTAATGCATTTTACTTTAGACAAGTTAATATTTTTATATAGGCTTTTGATTTGATTTGGCTCCACTAACAATATAATATTGTGTATTGGTTTGCGTAAACCTGATTATGTATATAACCATCACAATTCACTTTTACAAGAAAAAAAGTAACTTTGTCCTTCAACAAAGGTATCTTCAAGTAGCTTCTTCTCTAATTATTCCAAACATTTCCTACAAGTGAAAATGCCCTGCAGATGATATCAGATTCGTTGTTTAGTTGTTTATATGGAGTGCTTGCTTGCTGTTGAGATCTGATTGGTGTTTTCTGCATTCCCAAAAAACAAAGCAAAACATTTGTTTTTAGTTTTACATAAAGATGAGTTCTATAATGCTGTTATGGCTGGATGTTGTTTGGGGGATTGACTTATTTTACAAGATATTTAGGTACAATGGCAACGAGAGTAGTATCCTAGAAAAAAGAAAAATATGTTTATGTTTGTTTGTGCAGAAGTTGACGTTATGTTTGTATGATGTAGAATAACAGCAAGTGTAGTATCCAAGGAAAAAGAAAACCATGTTTGTATTGGTTTGTCCAGAGTTGAAATATGCAGTCTCTTACCATTAGTTAAATTATCAACATATTCATTTCAGTTACAAATTCTGAAAAATATGACACCGAGGCCTTGTGCGTTTGCTTATGTTTGTGTGCCTGTTTTCATTTGGCTGTTGTCTTTTTTTTTTTTTGGCTTTTAAATGAAAGTTGATTGGATCTTTTTTTGAACATAAATTAACTTTAATTTGTCTTATACCTCTTTTCACTCCTACATGCTATTTTCTAGAGACTGATTATAAGTTTTCGTTTTCTCATGTGTTTAAGAGCTGCTGCTGCCTTTACTGTGTCTCAAAATCTTGCACAACTGCTGCTTCACTTGAAAGGTTAATCAAAAAGGTAATGGGAAGACATATCTTTGTTCTTTAGTGTTGTGTTTCAATCTTTAGATATCATACTTTTGATAAAGAATACCACTTGTTATGAACTCATATAGAGTTACATCTATCAATTTTATGTTTTTGGCCTCTATAATTTGTGTTTGGTCAATTTGTTTATTAACTTAGTCAAAAAAAATCTGCTGTATTTTTTTGGGTTTCTCAACCTCTAAAGATTTCAATGGTTCTCTGTGAACTTATGCGTAGTTGCATCTATTACCTATTCCCTTATTATATACATCTGTTGTACTTGCTTGTTAATTAATTGGCTATTTTTACATTAATATACGTATCTGTATCAATTTTTAATGCACCCTATTTATTTCCATGCCAATTTTGTTGACCTATAGATTATTTGTTTGTGAATATAAATATGTAGGTGATTTTATTATTGGGTAGAACTGCTGTTAAGATTGTTTGCAAATCGTATAAGCCAGAAAAATCAGAAGGTGTTTATTAATCGCTGTCAGGTTAGCTTTCTTTCATGCAAATTAACTCATAATTATTTTTTCTTCGTCTTCTCATTTATTCAGCTGCATCTTTTCCCTGGCTATTTATATATATTTATTAAATTTGCTATTTGTTTATAGTGCTTAGGGTCTGTAAGTAAAGCGAAAAAAAAAATGAAACTTTTTTTTATTATCATAAATCTATTATAAAATACACTAAAAACTTATCTAAGTGTTTTCTTTTTTTTTTTTTAAAATCCTGCCTTAGGTTAATAAAATTGCATTTGTTAGATGTCTCGAATGTCTTATGGTAATAAGTCATCGTCAGATAATTTGCATTGCGCTAATATAATTCTAGACACTAAGAAAAGGTATCGTCAATATGTCGTTGAAAGATGGAAAAACAAAAAAAGGAGACGGAAACTATTGACAGTACCAACTTCCTTTAGCGGAGGCGGGTCTCAAAGTGGGCATCAAGAAAACTTAGCGAATATTTCTTCAAGCTTTATTTGTAAAAAAGCAAACAAAAACATAAATCAAGACCGAACAATAGACTGGAAACTCCTATTAGTATGGATAAAATAATAAATTTAGAGATGGCCAACACACCCAAAAAAAACAACTTTACAGGCCTCTTATTCTACTGCAGATCTTCCTAACAAAACATATAGACAAAATGCTATTGAAAAGTGGAAAAAAAAGGTCATCCGTCTTCTTTAGAAAATACATTAACGTATCTAAGTGAACACTACTGTAACAATATCAGTACTGATAAACCGTCACCCGACTATTATGTTATGAATTTTCGAACGTCGTAGATTTTACCAGTTTTAAATAAGTCAAATAGTTGCCCAACCTCATCTCTCTATCCATAAAACAAGATAGGTTTTCAAAAATCTTTGGCACATGTAAAATCTCCGGCCAATCCGGCGGGTAAAAATTCCCCTGTAATTTTATTCAACAACATAACTTCCTTTTCAATATTCAAATTTCTATTTACATAGGTTCAAAGTGATTTAATGGCGGTATATATTTAATAGGTAACACTTGTAATATCCAACACAAAAAGAAGGTAAAATTAATCCTGGTCGATAATTCTAAGTTTGTTATATAAATAATCTTAATTAATTCAAACAAAATTATCTAACAACATTTGCATTTGTGATAGGTATTCCGCACCGTGTTTATAGTAGTATTTTGGATAACATAGCAGGTGAGCCTTTTATTTTTTTCAAAGCCAAAAGAATGTTCTTATTGCAACGCTCTTAAATTTCAATCTGAAACAAGCGCATTTTGCTGTTCGAATGGTAAAATCAAATTAGTCAATAACTCATTGCAAGGTATTCTGGAAGATTTGCTTTTCTCCACAAATGAAGAATCTAAACTCTTTCGAGATTGTATAAGAACCATCAACAACCAATTTGCATTTACATCTTTGGGAGTAAAATGTGATGAAAATTTAACTAAACGTAACAAAGGAATTTACATACTCAAAATACAAGGGCAAATGTATCATTTCTTAAATGATTTGGAGGCATCTAAAAATTTACAGTTATATTTTCACGACACAGAAAATGAAATTGCAAATACACTTAAGGCCTGCCCTAGATTAATAGAATCTATAATTGAAAAAATTCTAAATGTTTTGAGAGAAAATCCATACGCGCAGTTCTTCAGGAGCCTTAATGAGATAAACAATTTAGATGAATACGAGATAATATTAAAAGCTATTCCAAAAATTGATCAGAGAGTTTATAATAAGCCAGAAGCCTCTCAAGTAGCCGCGATGTGGGTAGAGAGTGAAGATAGTGAAGAAACATCCGAAAGAAACATAAGACTGTACAATCGTACTGGTTTATCACATAGAATACAATATTATTTCGGCTGTTATGATCCATTACAATATCCATTACTTTTCCCGTTCGGTGAACTTGGTTGGCACCAAGGCATAGAAAAATTCAGAGGCTCAGTTGTCAAAAAAGCACCACGGCCAATAGCAGCGATGCATACGATTGCACCTGCACACATGAAATTAGTCGACGCACTTATTGAGGCAGAAGATGGTTAGTTAATAAATAAAACATCTTCTAACAATATTCTTTTATTTTTCTTATAGATTTTCAAGTTATGTACTTATAACATATCAAATAACTTCTAATGTATGATGCTTTATCTTTCCAGCTAAAGCTAGGTCGAAAGAAAGTCGGAATTTTATTTCAATCAGAGATTATTATGCATACAAATTACAAATTAGAGAAAATGATGAATCATATTTATTAAAATTTGGAAGACTATTTCAACAGTATATAGTTGAAATTTATGTTAAGATTGAGTCCCAAAGGTTAGACTTTTTCAGAAAACAACAAACTGAAATTAGACAAGAATTCTTACAAGGCATAGAAGATTGTCTAGCAGCAGGAGAAACAAATGCATCTAAAATTGGTCAGCGAGTATTTTTGCCAGCCAGTTTTATAGGAGGTCCAAGAAATATGAAAAAAAAAAGATATTTAATTGCAATGACATTAGTACAAAGATTTGGAAAAACTGACATTTTTTTAACTATGACATGTAATCCCAATTGGCCTGAAATCAAAGAACTCTTAAAAGAGAACGAGGGATCGCAAAACAGGCTTGACTTAGTAGCCAGAGTTTTCCACGGAAAATTTGAAGAGCTTAAAAAAGATCTTCTAAAAACTATTTGGAGAGGTGGTGGCATATACAAACGTAATCGAGTTTCAAAAAAGAGGTTTACCGCATGCTCACATGCTAATCATCTTAGCAAACAAGCATAAATTATACAGGCCTGAAGAATTTGATAAAATTGTTAGTGCTGAAATACCAGATAAAAAAAAAGAAAAAAATCCACATTTATATAACATGGTGAAAAAACACATGCTGCATGGGCCTTGTGGAGATTTAAATCCGACTAATTCATGTATGAATTCAAAAAAAATAAAAAAAGTGCAGATTCAATTATCCAAAACAATTTTTAGAGCAAACTATTCAAATTAATTACTCCTATCCAAGATATCAAAGGCGAGATAATAATATAAAAATAAAAGTACGCTGTAAATTAGATAATAGATGGGTAGTTCTTTATAGCCCTTACTTACCTGCAAAGTTTAATTGCCATATAAACGTTGAAATTTGTTCTTCCATACGAGCTGTAAAGTATATCTATAAGTATATTTGTAAAGGCCATGACAAAATTGCATTCCATGTAGATACTGTTGGGTTCGATATACTGTACGGAACAGAGTTTACAACGGAATTTAAAATTTTATAAGTATTTATCTTATAAATACTTATTCCGTACATAAGTATAACGAGATAACAAATAAGCATCATTTAAAATCTAGTAACTTTTACTAATTTTGATTTGATATTTAATTTATAAAAATTACCTTTGTTCTTGAACTCCTTCAAAACCGACGATGTATGAGGAAATCAAATCCCGGTTTGGTAACGATCACTTCTTGTTGTTACTCACTTTAGGAATCCAAATGTCTTCCCTCTAATCGTATCCACCTTTTGAACTTTGGTTTCGACTATAGTTTCTTCGCTAGTAGAAACTACTCGGTTTTTCAAGAATTATAGAATATATATTTATGAGGAAATTTTTCAAGAACACTTTCTTGTATTATCACTCAACTCCTTGAATGAATTTTCTCTTGGAAGAATTTTGCTCAAAACTTAGCAATTAATGTGCAAACATTTTGCACCTATTTATACTAAACATTTTAGCATAAAATAATCAATATTTGATATATTTTATTTTAAATAAAATCAAATTTTATTTAATAATCATACCAATATTGACTTTTAATTAATAATGTGGAGTGGTTTATAACCACCATTATTGTTTTAATAAAAATAAGATTAATTATGTAGATTGGTTAACAACTCCAAACCACCATAATTAATTTATTCTTATTAATATTTAATTTTCAATCATATTAAAGATAAATAATAAAATAATAATTCTAGAAAACATTTTTCAAGACTTTATTATTTTAATCTATTCTTCAATTTCCTTATTTAATAATCTTATTATTATTTGGATTTGAAATTCAAAATTCAATTTTAAATTCCAACTATTAATTAGTAATTCTATTAATTACTAAATTAATATCCGAAATTCAATTAGTCAATCTAATTGATTAATTTAATATATTTCTTTAATTGATATCTAATCAAATTAAA